TCACCGCTAGACCACATGGGAGAATTTTTGGGCAAGGTTCAAGACTCGTTTTCTTGATTCGAGTAACATCTGTCCGTCTACCGGATAGTTGGCTGGGAGTGTGGGGGAGGACCAAACACTGTGAACCCGAAGCCCAAACCCTCTCTGGGTCTCACCTTGGGCCATAGGTCCACAGATCATGTTTGGCTACGCTAACTATGTCACGGAGTCTGGCCCATGTTTCCCGACATATGTTAATGCCCCCCAACCAACTTGGGACAAGACTTAGAAAAAGGAACGAGACAGGTTCATGGGTGGAAGTTCCACCGTGGAACCATCTCGGTCTCACAACACACAGTTCGAACGATAACATCAGAATCCACCAAGGGGTAATTTGAAACTATCAGTAAATATCTGAAGTGTCAGTCAGACTGCATGACAACTGCATGAACAGGGCAGGTGTTCCTACGATCACTGGGCTTGAGTCGTTGCCTAACAGTTAACGGACTCCCTAAGGGAGTCTCCCTTGAATCAGTTCGTCCTTGGATGATAGTCTTCACTTGCTGATAGTCCGGGTTTCTGGTCTCCTTGGGATCAGTTCTGCCTTCGTCGAATCTTGATTTCGGGTAACCCGTAGTGTTCCCATGCACGAGAGTACCAGTAACCCGCCACACGGATTTGTTCGGCCGGCACCTTACGAGCCAGCCAGGCGCAAGCTCCAGAGCGCTATGGGTAATTGCAAATTCTAACCTCGAATGATCGGTGTGTGATCGGTCGGGCTATCTCGTCGTCATCGATCTGAGGACGGGGAGGGAAGTCATGTACAGAGGAACCTCTCCAGCGTATCACCTCAGGTTTCCCTGGATGCAGAGGCAGTTCAGTCACTGAACTTCAGTGGACACAGCCCATACCCGCGGCTCCCCGGCGACGGATACCGTTATCCCTAGAGGCGTACCATGCATGGCCAAACTCGCAAAGGCGTGGTCTTCGAGTCCTTCACCAGGCCATTAACTCAAGATAATACTTCCAAGAGCCTGCCACGAAGGGGAGAGATGGACGAAGCTGATTCGAGGAGAGTCTCCACCCGACCTGGGCCGGCAGATTCCTGAATCATTCAGGCTGAATGCGGGCGAATGTCACCGCTAACTGCTCGGCCCCACGCTCTATTCCCAAGGAGACCCACTTTGGAGCTGCTTGACTCTGCTCTGATGATCGGAGTCTGATCTTGTAGCAGACTGATATTCTCGAAGAAAGCTATGGACGTCGCCTCTGTTGAATCAAGCTTCCGCTCGTGAGCGGAGAGCTTTGGCGACTACTATTTGGAGCCTCTCATAGCGTTCTGAGAAAGTCATATCATTATACCATTGAGATAGGGCTGAAAATCCGGTTTTGTCAACAGAGGATATGCATTCATTAAGAGTTATATCAAAGATCTCATTCGCATTTGTGACTCAAGAATGAGTTCTAGAAGTCGCATCGCCTGTAACTGAAGGTTCAGTTAGGGGATCGGACGACTTCACTTGGACTGTCGGACAGTCACTGTCCTCGCTCGACTTAGCCGGTAGCGGTCACGGCCTCTGCGCCGACCTCCAGCTGGATGCTTTCGAGAAGGCATAAACTGACTAATCTGCCAAGAGGCCCTGGCGTGAATCAAACCCAACGCAGCAGTTCAAATACTCGGGCAAAAAGTAGA